TATATATATATATAATTCATGCCGTAATAGCCATTGTTTCTTTAAAGGGCACTTAAAGACAATTAAGTTTTATGTTTACCTTGAATGCATATTTCTTGTTGATATGGTCATCCACTGAAAGCATGGAGATGTGGAAGCTGGGCAGAAGAATACTTCCTAGGATGCTGTCCTCTTTTTCATCTGCAGAATTGACAGCAGAGTTAGAACTGGAGTATGATTCTATGGTCATTCCATGATTTGGGCAGCAGGTTAAGTTTTTGTACTGTAAAAGAAAACCCTGTATATAATTAGCCTTCCTATATTAAACCTAAACAGCTGCAACACATTTTCCAATTAGAGAACTGTAATATCAGTTCAAAAATAACTAATTTTTTGCATTTATACAAGATAAAACTCCAGAGCATTACTAAGTCCCCTATCGTGGTGACGGGGGGACATAAAAAAAGAAAAATGAGCGCATACTAAGGCCCTGTTACACATGCAGAGTCAGATTGGACCTACAAAACAGCCCTATACTTTGACATGGCTGGCTCACAGCAATCAGTACACAGAAAGTTATCAACGCCTGGCACAGCCTCGAAATGTCACTTCTTTCCCCTCACCTTCTCAGTCCCACCTTTTACCTTGTGATTTTACAGCTATTATTCATATTTCTTTCACATAAATGCTACTACTATACTCATCTTTGATACTACTCATGGGCATCAGAAGCATTGTAATGTATGTGAAGGGCACACTGGCAGGGGGTCTGGGGGTTCTCCCCCAAGAAATTTTAATTGAAGTAGATGTCATTTCTTTCATTCTGGTGTATTTTAAGAGGCTATTAAACATATTTTTACCTGTATAAATAAACAATTGATTTCAAAACTATTTTACAAACGGATTCTACATTCAACTAGTTCATATATGAATTATCCTGTATATAAACTTACTGCTATGGCTGAGATAAGGAATATGTGACAAATTATCGCAAGCGGGTTTAGATTTCCATTTTTTTTCCCCATTACTTTTATTTAGTTTATTCTTGATTTAGGTTTTTATTGCAATGCATGGCATTGTGCCAAGCAATGATGACTTCTATGACTGGCATCAAACTCCATGACTGACTCTGGCCTTTTCAGCTACTACTAACAATGGCTGTGTCTCAATTCATGGGCTGCATCCTCATGAGTACGTAGCCCAGCGGGGCCACATGGGCCACATCCTCCCCAGTCTGGGTATGTTGCATAGAACTGCTGTGACATGAGACGATCTAGCCTTTGCTTGATGTAAGTTTGCATGACCATGCGCTAGAGCCTTACCATAGCGATCAGTTTCATATCAGATTGAAAATGTGTTGGGACGTGTATTTACACGTGTTTTCACTGAAAGAATAACTTCACAAAGTGTTACACATAAAGAAATAAAAAAAACATTAATATTTTGGGTTTAGCTCTAGTATAAATATTTGCAGTTGCATTTTATTTAACATCTTATTGCAACATATATTTTATAACATAACTTAAATTTAAAAATAAATTCTTTGGACTGTGATGAATTTCCAAACTATGCTGATTTGGTAAAAAATAAATAAATAAAAAATAAAAACCTCTGCCGTCTTTGTTTTTCTGTTTAGTTTGCTGTTGGCGCATTGAATCCTGGGATATTCTCGGCTGGAAAGGATACTTGGATGCATCCTTGATTTTCAAGATTTTGTGGGCTGCATTCATCGGCTGCATAAAGAATGAGGCTTCGAATTGGAACATCACTTAGCATAGGGCAGTGATGTATGTGACCAACAAATGTGCACTCGTGAGGATGCAGCCCATGAATTGAGACACAGCTGATAACAACAACAATAATACATTTACAGCACTTTTGCAAATAAAAATTGTGTTATTATACAAATACAACATAAGAAAAGCTCTAAACACACACAGTAAATAAATTACTCACTGCAATGTACTTATCTTGAGCCGGTAAAAACAGCTACACTCACTGGCCGCTTTTTTAGGTACACGTTGCTAGTACTGGGTTGGACCCCCTTTAGCATTCAGAACTGCCCTAATCCTTCGAGTCATAGATTCAACAAGGTACTGGAAACATTCCTCAGAGAGTCTGGTCCATATTGACATGATAGCATCACGCAGTTGCTGCAGATTTGTTGGCTGCACATCCATGATGCGAATCTCCTGTTCCACCACATCCCAAAGATGCTCTATTGCAATGATTCCCAACCAGGGGTACGTGTACCCCTTGGGATACGCAATCATATGTACATGGAAAAATTTTCCTGGTGTGTAAAAAATAATAAGAATAGGACAGATATGTAGTTCCCTATGATTTCCGCAATGCGGAAATTGCAGACGGAATCACGAATTAACACAAAATGGAATTCCGTATAAAACATGGAATCTCATGGAATTTGCTCATTTGGGTGAGTTTCTTACTTATTTTCGATAATACAATGTATTTTGGACGCTGCTGTTTTCTGCACCTGCCATTGTCTGCTTTATTTATTTATTCATTTATTTAATTGCTTACTTATTCACTTCCAAGGTAACGTTTTTATCTTTATGTTTGATTTGAGTCGGAAAAAAAATAGAATGCCTGAGAATTAAACGTTCTAGGGGGTTAATTAAATAATTTTCATTTAATTATCAGTTGTAGTAGGGTACTAGTGGTATGACAAAATGGCTCAGGGGGTACACAAGTCTAAAAAGGTTGGGAACCCTGGTCTAATGTCCTGCAACATTCCAGCACTTTCAGAACCTTGGAGAGTTCCTTCAGTCCTTCACAATGTCCAAGATCCTGAAACAGTCYAGCACTTTCAGAACCTTGGAGAGTTCCTCTCACACTTAATGCTGTTCAAGGTCCTGAAACATTCCAGCACTTTCAGGACGTTGGACAGTTCCTTCAGCCTTCACACTGTTCAAGGTCCTAAAACATTCCAGCACTTTCAGGACCTTGGACAGTGCCTTCAGTCCTTCACACTGTCCAATGTCCTGAGACATTCCAGCACTTTCAGGACCTTGGACAGTTCCTTCAGCCCTTAATACTGTCTAAAGCAGTGATTCCTAACCAGGGGCACGTGAGCATATTACAGCGGGTACGTGAAAAAGTTTCCTCAGGAGTGCAAAAAAGTAAATAAAAATAGGACTGAGATTTGTAGGGTCCTATGATTTCTGCAATGTGAAAATTACAGTCAGAATCACAGAATTAACACAAAATGGAATCCAGTATAAAACATGGTATCTCACAAAATTTGCTCATTTGGGTGAGTTTCTGACATTTTTTGGACAATATAATGTATTTTGGACGCTGCTGTTTTCTGCAACTGCCATTACCTGGTTTATTTATTTAATTACTTATTCACTTTCTAGGCAGTGTTTTTATCTTTGTTTAATTTGAGTTGAAAGAAATTTAATGCCTGAGAATTAAATKTTCTAGGGGGTTAAATCAATAATTTTTATTTAATAATCAGTTGTAGTACATTATAGTTTTGGTGAATCATCATTACGTTTAACTGAAGAGGTACTAGTGGTATGACAAAATGGCTCAGGGGGTATACAAGTCTAAAAAACTTGGGAACCACTGCTCTATTGGATTTAGATCTGGTGACTGTGGAGGCCATTCAGGTACAGTGAACTCACTGTCATGTTCAAGAAACCAGTCTGAGATGTGCTTTATGACATGGTGCGTTATTCTGCTGGAAGTAGCCATTAGAAAATGGATACACTGTGGTCATAAAGGGATGGACATGTCAGCAACAACACTCAGGTAGGCTGTGGCATTGACACAATGCTCAATAGACCTTTTGCACACTCTAAAGCATGCATGAAATATATGCTTTGATTGGATGGCGAAATGCCATGTGCCTGCAAAAATCAGAAGGTGTGTATGTGGGGGCGGGAATTGAAAGATCAAGGTGATGATGGTGAGTTGTAATGTTGATGCGTGGTTTGGGAAAATTGTGAACAACCAATGGACAAAATCCCTGAAAAGTGTGCCACTGATCCGAGAGGTTGTCATTGTGAAGCGACTGTCGAGGGGGGCCACCATGTTAAAAAAGACAATCACCGAGACGAGGATGTTGAAGTCGGTGAGCATTATCGCGTTTACTGGTGTTTACTGTTTAGCTATCACGTTATCGTGTATGTTTAGAGACACATATTCATGGATGGTTAACTTCACAAACACACACGTCTTGATGACATTTAACTCACATGGCATTTCTTCATCTGTCCAGTAGCATGCTCATTTGCTGTGGAAAGTTGTTCTCTTTTTTGTCTGTTTTGCATATCCAAGATGTGGCATAGGAATGTAATCCACAGAGTTTGGATCATTAATTTCCATGCCAGAAACAAAATGCCGATTACACACTTTATTGTTTTTCATCGGAATGAAGTCATGACGGCGAAGCGCATTGAGCCACAGCTTTCTTCTTGTAGCAGCTTTGCTTGACTTTCCTAGARGAATTTGGTAAAAGGAGCAAGCTTCTCTTTTATCTTTGACTCGGCCACGTTGTCTTGAACAATTATACGCACTACAAAAGTCACTTTTCCCCATTGCATCATTGAAAAAAATGTAAACTCGCACAGTGAACGATCTCCCCTGCTGCCGGTGAAAGCGCAAAAACCCAGTGTGCGCATGCGTTATCACAGAAATGTGCAAAAGGTCTAGTGGTACTAATGGGCCCAAAGTGTGCCAGGAAAATGTGTCCCACACCTGCTGCTGCTGTAGCCCATCTGCCTCAAGGTTGGCTGTGTTGTGTGTTCAGAGATGCTCTTCTGCATACCTCGGTTGTAACGAGTGGTTATTTGAGTCACTGTKGCCKTTCTATCASCTSGAACCAGTCTGGCCATTCTCCTCTGACCTCTGGCATCAACAAGGCATTTSYGCCCACAGAACTGCCGCTCACTGGATATTTTCTCTTTCTCGGACCATTTTCTGTAAACCCTAGAGATGGTTGTGCGTGGAAATCCCAGTAAATCAGCATTTTCTGAAATAGACAAGCCCGTCTGGCACCGACAACCATGCCATGTTCAAAGTCACTTAAATCACCTTTCTTCCCCGTTCTGATGCTCAGTTTGAACATAAGCACATCGCAGGGGTGATAGTGGAAAAAATCCTGAGCCTGAACTTTTTTCTGCACCCCCCCCCCCCACAAAATATATGTTGATAATATCAACATTTATTACAAAAAAAACTCTTTAAAAATGCTTTTATGTACTGAACAGAGGATTGTCTGTGATATATTATTTAAATATAATTATTAATTTAACAACTCAACTGCAAAATCACCGTTCCAGTGTCAACCTTTATCACCAAGCATCAACAGGCACATTATGAAGGTTTTTATATTTAAAAAGATCAATATATGACCTTTGTTGTAGCTAAAAATACTTGAACATTAAAAACCTCATGACTGATATTTATACAGACAAACTGGTCAAAAAAATTAACAGAATCTATGTGAAAACTGTAATTTATATTTCATATTTTATTTTTAAATACACTTCATAAAATCTGGTTCCAAATATAAACATTTTTACTCATTAAAATCCCCAAAAAGTCTGTTTTAAAATGGTAGAATAATACGGTATATTTTACAGCTGATTTTTATGATGGGGTTTGGAGGAATAATATCAAAACTTAAAAAGAGACAACCCTGCTACCCTTTTGTTTAAATAAATATACCTGTTTTAGTGTTGACATTACGGACACAAGCTATCAATTAATGAATTATCTAAAGTTGATTGATCTTATTGACCATCTAATGATTAATTGATAAGTGACCATTTTCTTAAAAAACGGAGTTTTCTCTTGAATCAAAAGGGTTTTCCCATAACATCAAGGACTACATGTTTTTATAATATACTGAATTTAAAAAAGCATATCATTATAATTTAACAATTAATTAACCCAGCTGTGTTACATAGTGCAGTGTTTACCAACCCTGGTACTCAAGGCACACTGCCCTGCATGTTTTAGAGGTTTCCCTAGTTTGACACATCTGATTCATTTGACTGCAGTTCAACAAAAGCCTGTTAATCAGTTATCAATTGAAACCAGCTATGTTGAAGCAGGGAAACATCTAAAGGGCTCGACACACGGGGAGCGACAAACTACAGCGATTAACGGCTGTCATCACAGCCAGGGTGAAACCCGACACACGGGACGCGATAGCGATCGCAGCGTTGAGAATCGCGCTCAGGTCACTTGTCTTCACAAAATTTGATTGGTTCTTGACTCTGAAGGCGGGTGTGCATTACAGACGTGTAAACTAAACAAATCTTGCGATGCTAATGATATTGAAAAAGAAACACACATCAAGATACAATTTTATGAGGAAAAACTTACCATAAACTTCACCCTGGTGCCAATAAATTCCCACAAAGCTGCCTTTTTTAGTAATCACTTGGTGAAAGTGTTAGCTAACTGCAGTGTGTAGCATACTCTCCTCTCATTGGTCAGTCAATGAAACCCTTACTGATTGGTTGTACGCTAAGCGACAGCGACAAAAGTTGAACATTTTTCGACTTTCATTTGTCGCGTCGCAAGCTCGCGTGTGCACGTGTACGAGCGCAAAATTTCACATGCACTATTTTCACCGGTCGCTTAGCTGGAGGAGGGCAAGCGATCGTCGCCTCATCGCACAGGCTCCATAGGAAATGAATGGAGAGCGAGCGACGTCGCCTTCCCGTGTGTCGAGCCCTTAAAACATGCAGGGCAGTGTGCCTTGAGGACCAGGGCTGAAAAACACTGACATAGTGACTGAATAAACAAATAATTCATTTCTCACACATTAAACCTGGACATGTTTTTTTTTTAAATATAACAAAACAGAAATCTGTTAGGCTGCTGAACGGAGGAAAAACTGATGAAAAATAAAATTATTTTTAGATGTAAAACTATTATTAATTTATTATTATTAGGCCCAATAAGCACAGTTCTGGAGCAGGTCTTTCCCTCCTCCTCCCCTACAGAGTCAGACCTCTGAGAGCTACTAGCGTCTTTTTTCCCCCCTTAGTTCTGTAGTTTTTAACTGCTTGATAAATAACTTTAGGCTTTGGTCGGATAAAAGATCGAAGGGTTTTAATGTTTTATTTTTATTTGCTCTAGAGAAGGATGAAGCAGACTGGGGATTGAGGTGTTTATTTCCACAGGACGTGTTTCCTCCTCGCTATGCGCATCAAACGGCATTAAGAAAATAAAGTGTGGGGTACACTATTTATCGTATCTCCAGTTCTACGTCACCTAACAACACAATTTAAAAACTGGTTTAAAGTTTGAAGTCTCAACTTTTAGTTTGAATTGAAACAATGTCTCAGAGAAGGGATACCTTTCCAGTTAGAGTGGTTTAAATGGACCAAATGATGAGTGGGCAGACGATATCATTAAATTGATTGTAACTTTTTTAATCTAATAAACCATTATTCGACGCATCCCTAGTTAATATTGTTAAATTACAACAACTAAACAAACATAAACAACCAACTATAACCGAGACAGCCTGCGCACTCCTGCACAGCGGCGGACAGTCAACATTTTGCACAACATCTGACTCAGTTCCACTCAGTAAACACGCACCTGTTGGTCGGATGTGTTTCCCGGGTCACTGTGATTAAAGCCATGCCTGCCTCTCTCCCCCGGCTCCACCTGTCTGCTACTGTTCAGCTGACGTTAGCCTCTGCGAGCCTCTGCGCAACATCTTCTGCTGTTTTTTTCTTCTCTGACAGCTGGTTTTTAAAAATCTGCCAACTTCAATATTGTTTCCAGTTCTTTTTCAGACTTATTCTAACAAAGAAATTAATTTTATTTCGAGCACTGCTCCAACTTCTGCTGGATCTGAATCAAAGTTTTGCAGATATAGAAGTCCCGGCTCCATCTGATTTCTGATTGGCTGGTAGGCCTGTCTAGTGTGTTTAAAGTGAAAGCTGCTCCTCTGATAGCTCCAGAGAAATGTCTGTTAAATATTTGGCCAGGCAGGTCTGATTTTTATTTATTTTCCCCCTGGAGGTAAGCCGGTGTTGTACAAAATTCAGTTCCCCCTGTGAAAATCTGTTCCCCCTTTGTGTTGGGAGCGCCTCCCTCATATTAACCATTTAGGATTGATCTGATGTAAAGGCTGGACCAGTGATTCTCTCTAAGGTTAACCAGTAGGGGGAACAGATGCCTAAATGCGTTGAATTGCTGTCGTGTGATTGGCTGATTCGACATTTGCGTTGCTGAGCAGTTGGACAGGTGTATCTAATAAAGTGGCCAGTGAGTGTATATATTAATGTAGAAACCAGACAGGGAAACAAATTATTTCCTGAAATATGTTTTCTTTTGCAGTAAAGAAAAATGTATTTTTCTGGCCAGTCAGTATGGATTCATTTTAAATTTAGTTGATGAATCAGAATAAAGATTGTCCGATTGATGTCTAGATGGTAAAACATAACTGTGTTTACTGGTGTGTGTGCTGAAAACATCCAGAAACATAAACTTGGATGAAGGACTACGTAGACAGAGCTGCTAACCTGTTGTATCCATGCTGCTGGGTCTATGTTATCCCAGACCTGGCTGACTTTAGTCCTGCTGATCTCGGCCCCTCCATCACATGTTCATTTAGCACATTTGGATGCACCATGCACAAATGTTTTCCTTTTTTCCCTCCTTACTTTCTCTGATCATCACTTTCTTCTTTCTTTTTAACGTGTTTGCTAACTTTACCTGCTCATCTTCCTTCTACTTTCTATTTTTCAATTTGGGAGGGGCCGCCCCACAGGCCTCTCATATTGGACGTTTGATTCTTCCACCAGCAACCCCAAGGTTGGTTGGCCAATTGGTATTTGGTCAATGTCAATTTTTAAAGGAGTGCTATTTGTCATGTCAGATGTTAAATGTAATTCAGTTTCATTGTTCGTGTTTTAACCATAAAAGCTCAAACTAATTTAATTCAAACAGTTAAAACAGCCTTATAGAACAAAGTGTTTTTGATAACACATATGTTTATTCTTCTGAAGGCAAACAGAGCAACTTAATGTCAGTCATTTTTCCTACAGATTAGATACAAAGGCTGTCAGAAAATTCCTTCATGCCTCCTCTTCTATGTTGCTTTTTACTGCTTCAAATTAATTTATTAATGTAGCACCAGTCCACGACTATAGTCATCACAGAGCCCAATACCAGGCGCAAATTGGCCCAAATCAAATCTAGTTACACGCAATTTAATTTCAACTTAACTAAAGACAGTCAGATTTAGTGGATTCTAAAATCCCAGTTAGGAAATGTTCTGAGGAAACCAATGTCTCTCATTGTTTCCCTGAAACCTCTTCAGGGTTTTTTAAATAGTAATACTCTGATCTATTTTACTAAGGATGTTGGAAGTCTGAATAGTATTGTTTTTTGTTGAATGTGTGCATGAATGTGTGTGTGTGTATTGTCCTCACCACGGTAGTAAAAGAGGCACATGTCAGACAGAACAAACCACCTCTTCTTCCACAACTTCATACCTGTGCTGTCCTGCAGGGGTCAAAGGGAACAGATGGTCAGACAGAAAATCAAGTGTATTTTTCTTTAATTTCTCTCAGGTTTTTCTGCTGTTTCCCTTTGTTCACATAGGAACAGAATTTAAGGGCTTAAAATAGAACTTGGAAAAAAAATCCAGATTGAAATAACCTAAAAATGCCACACTTGTGTTTATGTGTAAATAGCAAAGGCAAGAGTTTCCTAATTGGAGGCCGGGGGCCACCAGGGGACGCTAGGGGGCCTCAGAAGGCTGGAGGGATAACAAAAGTTAATAAATAAATAAATAAGTAAAATATGTTAAATGTCAGAATAAAAATGTTAAATATAAACTAGCAAATGTTAAATATTAACATAACATCCAGTTTCTTTTTTAATTACTCTTTTAGAATATAATATATAACAAAATAAAAGGTCTTTGCCATGCTCATCTTTCTGATCTGTCACGTTTTAGATTTGAAAAAGAAAAAAGGATATTTTAAAGTGCCCACCGTGAGCCATCTACATCTCAACTAATCTCCAGTACCCCTTACTTTTTAAAACAGGTGTACAAGAAATCCAAAACAACCACCAGTGAACCACTTACATATTCAATTAGGTGATCAAAATTTGATAGCCATAACTTTGTTGACATTGTTGAAATGCTGTGGACATGTATCTTATCTTAAGTTATAATAGAGCCTGAATGAAAACAGACAAGGAAATTAAAAATATTTATTTATAAACTTGCTGCCCCATTTTTAGAGGTTTTTACATGACGTTTTTAGTTTTTGGCAGGAATGCCTTCGATTTTGCTACAACCATCTATCTTTCTATTTTGTTGTTGCCAGTTTTGTTTCCACTCTCAGTACTAAACTCGTAAGAGCTGCCACCCAGGTGAGTACAGGTGGCAGTTCTCTTGAGGTTAGTGATAGAGTTTGTTCAGTCTAAAGCTAGCATAGTAATAGACAAGTTCGTGACAAAAAATGGCCAAATGAACCAACCAGCAGCCCTGCTATGGAGGACACTGCTGAAAAAAATAAATATAAAAATAAAAAACTCCTGGGCAAGAAAAATCAGGAAGTATGAGGCAGCATACATTAAGTATGGCTTTATAGCTATTCAATAGTGAATAAAAGTGAGAAAAAAACATCCTAAAAGTTGTTGTTTCTTTACATATATTGTTGCTTTTTTTTTGTCAATTTGCAAGGCGGTGCCCGGTCAGAATCTAATGTTGTTTGGGGGGCCTTGGCATGGAAAAATTTGGGAACCCCTGAGCTAAAGCACAAATTTTTAAAAACAATGTCAAAGATTCACCTCAATCTAACCTTTGACCTCTAGTGTGGTAAATGTAGTAACAGCAAATTGCACAGATTACGGATGATAGAATTTGTACTGAAGATGCTGTGTAATTTAAAGACATACAACTTGATATCTATGCCTTGAAGAAAAAAACAACCAAAAAAAGGTCAAACAAAATGGACTGTATGAAAAGAGTCCTAATAAACTTGATTATCTTTTTAAACTGCTCTGAGATTTATATTGTGTACCATTATGAACTGAACTTAAACTTAAAACGGTCCTGCCACTGTAATAAAAGTAAGGGACGTCAAATCACTGATGTATTATGGAGATGTATCAACCTGAAATACTGTAATATGATACAAATGGGTCAAGTAAAAATAACCCTCTAGTGGTGTCTTAACTGAAGATAGTACCTTTGAGACATTGATGGGATATTGTTTTATCATTTAATCTTTAATTTATTTAATCTTAGAAGTGACTGAACGAAAGCACATGAAAAAATGACTTTTGTACTTTACCTGCTTGAAGAGCCAGTTGCACTTCACTACTGGGGCATAGATGTTTCTTTTAATAGAGTTAGACCTCTTCCCAAAGTTGTGTATCTTTTTAGAAGACCTGGAAGGCTGTTGAAACACAAGTCTGGATGATAAAAGAGCTAAAACACTCAGACTTAAATACATATTTTTAAAAAGGTTTCATTCAAAACAGCAAAAGCACTACAAACATTAAAATCGATTAAGTTCAATGAAGAAGTTTTGACTTTGCATCAAATGTAGATAACATGGAATGCAATGATTTGTAAATTTCAAAAACTCATACTTTATTTGCAATGAAGCAATCTTAAACATAATTTTTTTAAATATTAGTAACTGTTCAAATAAAAAAAAAACTAACACACTAACACAATGTGAGACTTCCAGATTCAGATAGACAAACAGACAAACAGGTGATAACAAACCAACTGAATACTGGGGTGGTCAATAGTGATAAGTCATGTACACTGTACATACAGTATATGGAGGATTATATATTTTAACACACCACAGCTGAGACTAAAGCTGAAACTGTTGGACACTGTGTGGACGTCCTGAGAGAAACGTTTTTCACCCTGCCATCTTTCAACCTGTGACAGATGTGGACTCAGATTGGATAGTTTCAGTGGTGCATGGACTTAAGGTAGGACATAATAACTTTGTTTTAATGAAATGTGCATCAAATGAGCTGCAGTTTGTGTAAAAAACATTGATATGAGATATGAAACATAACTCATTAACTTGTGCCAGTCAAATGGTGAATAAGTTGTTCTGTAGGTTCATATATTTGTAAGTCTGATTCTGATGAACTGAGTGCCTCAACATCCATGGACCTCACCGCACATCACTGTGTGTACATGAACAAAGAATTCAGAGCAATGAAAATAAAAATCAATGTTTTAGTTTGTTTTTTAACAGGAGCCCAGATTCTGAATGCAGATTACTACTGTTATAAACACAGCATGTATTTCTTTAACTACTGACCCTGGTTGATGAGGTGGAGACTGTGGTTCCACTGGTGACAATGGTGGCTGGGCTGCCAGGGAAAGTACTATAATCCGAACCACCTGTGTAATTTGATGCCTCACTCATGTCGCTCTTTGGACGTTCCTTCTTGTCAGTTCTGCTTTCATTCTCAGATGAAACCTTAGGTATGGACCTGCCACACAGCAAGAGACGCAACCAGGAAAAGGGAAAGGTTATTGCCTTAGCATTTGTTAAGAGAAACAACATAAGTTTAGTTTTGTATCCATTCTGGATTAAAGGGGACCTATTATGCAAAATTCACTTTTTAAAGGTTTTTTTTTTACTCAACTTTGGGTATGTACTTCTTAAAAAAACAGTCCTAGGAGCAAATAAATGCACCCAGGGGCGTATTTACTGTAAGTAAATGTATTTTTAATGTACAGTATATTAATGACAAGTTTTATACTTCCGTTATTTTGTGATGTCACAAGCCGTACGACAACCCACCGGAACCTGCGTTCAGCCCCTTACCTAGCAACCCCCAGGTGAGACTCCACCTCCTCAATATAAAAAGCCGTCACTGTGTTGTTATGCAATGCGCAGCTCGTTTCGTAACAAGCCTCCAATAGGGCAATGGGTAGAGTGTTGGACCAGAGAGTGGGAGACCAGGGTTTGAGACYGGCAAGGACAYAAGTTAATTATTTATTTATTTTCATTCGTTACGAACACGTTCTCTCATGTACCTCTATTGTTTAGCTTATTAAAGCCTTGTTAAAGCCTATTTGTTTGAGTTTCTGAGGTATTTTGACCGCTGCTGCTCCCTGCTCTGGTAACAGCATGCAGAGTGAGCGCAGAGCAGAAGAGGGGGAGAAAGAAAAAAAAGAAGCTGGGACCACGACTCTGCCTCTGGGT